AAGACTTTAAAAGGTGGAAGGATGATTAATACGTGAGGAATCCAATAGAAAGAGGTGACAAGGTGGTTCTGGGTCACCTACGCAATCGGGTTCAAAGCCAAGATTAGAACTTGGCTCTCCGGATTCTCAGTCTGTAAGATGTTCAATCTGTGGTGCTTTTTTAGATCTATTTTATCTGTCTGAAAGATGGGGTTGGGGGAGACAGATTATCTCTCTTCCTCTGGTTCACTTCCCGAGTTGCCACAGTAACACAGCTGAGCCAGGCTGAAGGCACGAGCCTGGAGACCCATCTGGGTCTCCACTTGGGTGGCAGGGGCTCTAACACTTGGGCATCTTCCACACATTGCCAGGCTGATTACCAGGAGCTGGATTGGAAGAGGAAAAGTCAGGACACTCATGGATGCCAGCGTCACAGGTGGGCTTACCCCGCTGAGCCACAGCACAGACCCCCAGTTGCACTTCCATTCTCGTGTTTTTATGGCAATTTCAGTAACTGTTCATTACGATAGTGTATGTCTGTAGGATAGTAAATTTCCAGGGATTTGAATTTCTGCATCGGTAATATATTTTAAACTGTCAGAGTGTGATTGCTTACTGTTTTCACAAAAATCTGGGAAGACCGTTAAAAATGCAAAGTCATAAAAGCTGCATTCGTGAGATGTACTCTTCGGAACTTTTCCATTCCTGTTTCCAAACTGTGTAGCCACAGGACCTACACACCTGTGTCTCTTTGTGATCTCACAGTGTAGACTTGGCCACAGAGAAGTAGCTGGGTTGGAAAAGTTCATGTTTCAGTATAAAATAAGATTGACGTTTCAGTAGTTTCTGGTATTGACAAAGAAATAGTAACTACAGCCTCAGACTGTTAGAATTCTAATAAGCTCAGCCCACGCTGGCCCATCTTTCAGTGTGCATATAAGGGTAAGGAGGATTCAAGCAAGGTCATTCTGTGGTGGAATCCACTTACGGAATGCCTCCTTTACTGGTTGGCCTGTCCTCATTCCAATCCAAACGTGTTTATGTTGGCGTAGACTGCCCCACGTGATGTGTGCCATCCTGGTTGAACCTTTGCATCTTTCCCGTATTATCCCACAAACTTGGTGTCCTAACCTTGTACCCTCGTGTTCACAGTGGCTCTGTGTTCTACTGTGGGGACCCAGCACGGCGTGACTGCAGCCATCATGCCCCAAGGTGACCCTGGCAGTCACCCCTAAACCTAAGAGTAAACAAAGCTCGTGAGGTTACCTGCCCCACGTTTCTTGCTAGGCACTGGTGCCTGCACTGTCTCTTAGCTGAGGCCTGGACCATTGATCTTTCTTGAGAAAATCCGGGTGTATTCGGTTACCCATGGGCCAGCTTTGTCTGTTTTTAGACACCTTTTGCCTTGTCTCATGGGTAGGGATCTTCTGGCTTGCAGCCACCCGAGATGCACTTCTGTCCAGAAGTCCTAATAAATCCCCCTCTCTCTGATCCTGGATTTGCCGACCTCTTTCCTCAGATCACAGAACCTTCCCACCTTGGCCGCTGGCTCTTTTATACCAGGCTTTCTTGAAACATCCGAAAGTCTGCTGAGTCTAGCTAATGTATGACCGTTCTTCTGTCCGATGGACTTTTTCAGACAATGACTTCAGTGTGTATAAAATCTGGGAAATGTTAGCAATCTATTAGAATAACTGGGGAACTTTTTCTGGGAAAGGCTACACTTAGCAACCCTGGTGTAAAATCGTAAGTTCTTACTGAGGAAGACAAAGTAACAGCACAGACAAGTTTGATCTGCGTTTTTGTTATGATACCAGATCCCAACATGTACGCCTCTTGCTATTTGTGGAATGCCTGGTAAGGGAGACAGTAGGATTCTTCCTTGACAAAATCATTAAATGAGAACAATTTATCTTCCAGTATTAAAGACCTCTAACCTCTAAATTCCTATTTTTTTTCCTTTCCAGATAAGGTACATATTATTCATTCATTCCACCCTCAAAGTTTGTTCTCAAATTCTTTATTCAGGTGAATAGTCAAATGACTCAGTGTCTTAAATTTTAAATTTAAAAGTGATACTTCAGTTTTAGCAGTATGGCTTATTTAAACTAAAGTTTTTAAGTTAACCCTACGCCACACAATTTTGAATATCAACAGTTTCACAGTAAAGTACAGACAAAGAAGACTTTTTTTAACCTTATCTCTCTGAATTTTTTTATTTTTTAATTTTTTCCTGATTTTTTTTTAATTTTATAAGGTATACAGATTTCATGTATTTCCCATATACAGATTCAAGAACCTATAATAATCCCCACCTTCCCCCCTCCCTCCCACACTCCCACCCTTTTTCCTCCTCCCTCTCCTATTGCCATTCTTAATTTTGACAAAAATCTGTTTCAGTTTACTTTAGACTCAGAAGATTAACCCTACACTAAGTAAAGAGTTCAACAAAGAGTATGAAGGAAAAAACACTGTTTCTCAACAGTGAGACAAGGGCTGCAAGCATTCATCGCATCTCAAAATGTCAATTTCACTCCGATAGATTACCTTTTAGGCACTCTATTTGTTACCACAGATCAGGGAGAACATATATGGTATTCGTCTTTTTGGGACTGGCTTATTTCACTAAGTATATTGATTTCCAGTTGCACCCATTTTGTTGCAAAAGACTGGATTTCATTTTTTACTGCTGTGTAGTATTCCATAGTGTATATATACCATCATTTCTTTGTCCAGTTGATGGACATCTGGGTTGATTCCATACCTTATTGTGAATTGAGCTACAGTAAACATGGAATACAGGTAACTCTTTTATATGCTGATTTCATTTCATTTGGGTAAATTCCGAGGCATGGGTGGGCTGGGTCATATGGTAGGTCTACATTCAGATTTCTGAGCAATCGCCATACTGTCTTCCACCGTGGCTGCACCAGTTTACTTTCAAAAGACATTCTTGATAGAAGAGTAAGTATCTCTCATCTCTCCTCTTTCAGAAACAGAAGGTGGACAAAATGCCATGAGGTTGTTAAACTTCGTATTTCCACCTGAACTTCGGTGTCCTGGCCAGTCAGGTCCTGTGGTCTCTGACGATGCACTGGGTGCTGACCTTGGAAACAGGAAGCTGTGTGCTAACTTGTCAGTAGTTCCCAAAAGGCCGCTTCAGGAATCCCTCAGTATTCACAGTCTAGTCTTGGGGGCAATATTCTGTGTCATTACCAAAGGCCCTCGTTGATCATTTTACCAACCTGAGGAACTGAACTGCCACTAGTTATCTCCAGCAAGCAAATACACACACACGAGAGGGTGCCCAGATCCCCTCCTTAAAATCAGCGTCTACAACCACAGCATCACGTTTGTGGTTTCTGACATAGCCATGCATACGTGGACACCAGCCCACATCACAATGGCAGCAGTGGGAACCCATGGGAGTTATCAGTGATCCACTCCATTGAGTGTTACTGTATGGACAGCCCTGATAGCTTCTAGACTTGAACAGTTGGATTTTGGATGTGAACTTCAGAATCACTTTTAAGTGGAAACACTACTCTTCTGAGTTGGTGTTCATTTGGGGTTAAGTAGACCCACTTTTAATGTACATTTGTTTACTTGTTTAACATACATTCGGAATTTGGTTATGCATAGTGAGAAGTTGTAAAATGACTTCCATATAGCACAGTGCAATTCAAGATTTTTAGGATGATTTTTTCCTTCATATATAAAGAGTATTTGTCTTAGATATTAAGTTGAATTGGAGTTTTTATTCATAAATTTAAAAAGGATTTTAATTTGTGCACATTGCAGCTTATTGCCAGTTGTACTGAACGCTCAGTCCTCTGAATCTGTGGTCTCCGTAACCAAAGACTCAACCAACAGTGGATCCAAAAAACTCGAAGTTGTGTCTGTTTCTTTTTTTAATTTTTATTAATCTAAAGAGAACAGAATTCAGGTATTTCACAGGTACAGATCTAAGACAGCAGCCCTACTTCCCCCTCTCCCCTCTGCCCCCATCAATCCCCCTCCTTCCCGCCTTTTTTTTTTTCACGAAGATGTAATTTCAATCCCCCTATAATCACAGCTTAATTCACCACTAACCATAATACACAACAGTACAAAGTCGGAAGACCACGGTTCCATGGGAGTATAAAGAAGGGCTAAAAACAATAGTCAGATCACAAGATGTCCATTTCATTGCTATGCATTTTTTTGTATTCTATATTAACTACCACGTATCAGAGAAAATATTTGATATATATCTTTCTTGGACTAACTTATTTCACTAAGCATAATGGTTTCCAGTTGCAATCATTTTGTTGCAAAAGACAGAATTTCATTCTTTTTATGGCTGAGCAGTATTGCATCGTGTATATATACCAGATTTTCTTTATTCGGTCATTAGTTGGTGGACATCTGGAATGAGTCCACGTCTTGGTTCTTGTGAACTAAGCTGTAATGAACATGGAAGTACAGATTACTCTTTCATATGTTGATTTCTCTTCGTTTGGGTAAACTCCCAGGAGTGGGAGGGCTGGGTCATATTGCAGATCTACTTTGAGATTTCTGAGGCGTCTCCATCCTGTCTTCCATAATGGTTGTACTGGTTTACACTCCCACCAACAGCAGATTCGAGGTACCTCTCCCTCCCTCCCTATAGTCTACAGTATCACACCTATGTACGTCGCATCTGGATAGCAGGTATTATAGGTAATCTCAGGATGACTTGGAGTACTGGGGGGATGGGCGTAGGCTGTGAACAAACACTGTGCCATTTTATGCCAGGGACTTGAGCGCCTGTGAGTTTTGATATCTGGGTGGGGAGGGGGTTCTGGAACCAGTTCCCCACGGGCACTGAGGACACCATCCACTCGTGTTCCTAATATTTCCAAATAACGCATGGCAAGGCTTCATAGTTGTTGAGATGGGTAACTGCTCAGCTGCAGTAGGGACGCGAAGAGGCCGTGAGAAGGGTGTCACGAGGCGTCTGCCTTCCCCGTGTTTAGTGTGCCTACCTCTTTGCATTTCAGAGCTCCTGGAACTGAACCGAACGTCGCTATTTCACAGCCCGTTTGGATTTCTCGACCTGCAGGCAATGCTGCTGGACGACTACCAGGAGCGACTCTTCGTGGGCGGCAGGGACCTCCTGTATTCCCTCAGCTTGGACCGGCTCAGCGACGGCTACAGGGAGGTACAGACCCTTCGTGTGTGTTTCGGGAGGGAGAGGAGAGGGGGGAGTTGCGAGGGTGTGGCTTGAGCTTTCTTCCACCTTTAACATTTTAAGTGATAACTGAAATAGTCCTTCCACAATGGAATCACTTCGAGAGAAGTGTATAGCTCATTGTACATGAACTTCATGAGGCTCCCAGCATATCTGGACTCCCAGAAACTCCTTCCTGGTGCATTTGACATTCTGCCTGCGTGATCGTCCTTGTCACCACACCTGCTGTCCCGGGACATGGGCTTGGCACACGCGGCATAAGCAACAGCTCCCCGGAGCGTTGTCATTGCGACAACCGAGCTTGAAGAAACACGGCTCCGTGACATCACACGGTTCTGCTGGTCCTATCACTGATGCGGATGGAAGCCCCTGAGCCTGGCTGGTTAATGTGTGCTATTGAATGAAGCGAGTACTGACACCTTTTAGGAAAGGTTAACTGTGATTAGAGGAAGACAGTTCTTCTAGTCCCTGCTGACACAGACTTGAACTGACCTAATTGTTTATATCAATCTTACATGAAACGGGCAGAAATATTTAGACCACGGTATTTCTTGCCATAAATATAAGTATTGTGCAATCCCTTTCTTTATAATTTATTTTATATTTGCCTCAGTGAGCCTCCTCCACATTTTCTGAAGTCCCTTTGTAAAGCCGGTGATGATCGGCTGCCTCCCTTTGTCTTGGGTAGTTCCTGATCTCCAGAGGAAATGATTTTTTAAATTAAATATTTATTTTATTTATTTGAAAGGCAGAGACACAGAGAGAGAGAGGTCTTCCATCTGCTGGTTCACTCCCCAAATGGCCACAACGACCAAGCACCTGGGCCAGGCCAAACTCAGGAGCCAGGAGCCTCCTCCAGGTTTCCCATGTGGGCTCAGGGGCCCAAGCGCCTGGGCCATCCGCCGCTGCTTTCCCAGGCAGAGAGCTGGATGGGAAGTGGAGCAACCAGGACTCAAACCGGCACCCATGTGGGATACCGCTGCAGGCCGGGCTCTGACCCACTGCGCCACAGCGCCAGCTCCGAGGAAATGATTTTAAACCTTTGGTTTCCCTTGACTCAGACTTCATATTTCTCAAGAGCAGTCCCGTATGGTTCTCTCTGGATGTCTGTGGTCTCGGACGGTGGCCGTGAAGGTCAGGGAGGATAAAGCTCTCCCGTCATTCGCTGTCTGTGCTGCACACTCGCACCGCGCTTCAGGCACCTGCCCTCTGAACTCTCAGTGGAGTTAGAATGCGATTTTAGTTAAGTTAGTTTAAGTTATATCTTTACATTATTCTAGTTAGGAAAGCAGTGCTCAGCCGGGACCACACAGCTTATCAGACCTTCCCTTCCCTTCCTTTCTTTCTCTTTTCCCTTCTTTTTGCAATTTTCTTGCTTCTCCTGAAGTTGAAAGTTCTCACACATGGCTCCATCCGCTTAGCGTTTGATGTTAATTTCACTGATCTTTCTCCAGCTTCTCTACTGGAGTCTTTAGACACCTTTCAGTTTGGTAGATGTTCAGTCTCCCCCGGTCCACATTGGTTTGCATTGTCAGTTGCAGATATGGGCAGGGCCTCCTCGTACACTGCACGTAGCTTCACCACCACCCTGCGGCTCCCCCAGTCTCCCACCTGCACAGAATCTCGGGTTCCCAGGGCACCCTTCTTTCTGGCTGATGGCTCACTGAAGGATACCCACTCCGAGTTTCTTAAAGGACCCGAAGTAAAATGTTGTTTTGTGTGTTTGAATTTTTTAAAGATGCATTTATTGATTTGAAAGGCACAGATACAGAGGAGAGAGAGGGAAAAATTAGAGAATCACACAGGATTGATGGGTGGATGTACAATTCTGGGTTGAAAGTCATTTGCATCAGACGAATCTTTGCATTGAGGAAGTGGTCCTTAAAGTGTTGATCTCGGCACAGGATCGCGTGGCTCCCACAGAGTGGGTCCCGGGAATCCACAGCTGTAACAAGCTTTCTGCGTGAGCCTTCTCTACACAAAGCCACCTGAGCGATGCCCGGGCAGAGCCATCCCCGGGGCAGAGCCGCCCCCGGGCAGAGCCATCCCTGGGGCAGAGCCGTCCCCAGGCAGAGCCGTCCCCAGGGCAGACCACGAGACCAAGAGGCAGCAGCTTCCCGTGCTAATGTCAGTCACCTTTCTTCCCATCTACTGTTTACACCTGACTGTACCCTCAGGCCTGTAATGCCAGAGAGAGCGGTGTTTGTGCAGGAAGTGACCCATGAAAACGGTACAGAGCGGGAGACCTGGAGAAGTCATGCGTGTCACGCGCAGCCTCGTAGGAAAGGAAGTGCAGAGGGTGTGACCACTGAGCTGCACCGCGCCATCCGGCGAGCGTGCTGAGGAAAGAGCGAGGGGGGCTCTGAAGGGGATTACTTGCCTGTGCTGTAAGGGGCATCTGCGTTTGTGGGGCCAGAGCTTACACATTCAGGCCTTTCTTGTATTGCGCCTGCCCTGCCTGTCTCTCCAGAGTGATGAGCAACAAGCCCTCCACTGCTGCCTGGCCTGGCTCCGTGACAGCGGAGTGCGAGGGAGGCCAACTTCCGTGGCATTCAGCTTCAAGGGGGGCTGAAGGGGACGTCCTCTCCCGCCTCTGTGGAGGAGGTGCACCTGCTCTGGGCACGCTCCCCCACTGTGCTGTCTGGACTTGGCACTGCTGATGCATTGTCTGCTGTTCCCTTTGTCGATCTCTCTTGCATGGGTTCCTCTAGCCCCCACCTGTCCACACTACCACATCGCCGGTCGGGTCATTGCTACTCACTCCTCCACACCCCACACCTCCTCCTCTTCCATATTGTTCAATGCTGTTTTTTTTTTTTTTTTGTTTTTTTTTTTTTTTTTTTTTTTTTTTTTTTTTTTTGGACAGGCAGAGTGGACAGTGAGAGAGAGAGACAGAGAGAAAGGTCTTCCTTTGCCGTTGGTTCACCCTCCAATGGCCGCCGCGGCCGGCGCGCTGTGGCCGGTGCACCGCGCTGATCCGATGGCAGGAGCCAGGTGCTTTTCCTGGTCTCCCATGGGGTGCAGGGCCCAAGCACCTGGGCCATCCTCCACTGCACGCCCTGGTCAACGCTGTTTTAAAAAGCCCGTCTCTTCCTCTCCTAACCTAGACTTGGAGGAGGTTTTCCAGCCCTTCCTTATCTCTTGGTCTGATTCGGATCCCAAATTGTATTAAAATTACTTGTCTACTTGTCAGTCTACTTATTATGGCTCCGTAAGGGTGGGTCCTGTATTAAGTTCATCTTCGACAATGCAGGCACTCAAAGAACACGAGTGTCTCCGGCGCAGATCCCACCACAGTCTAATCGATCCGCTCCCTGCGTTTCCTGCAGTCCCCTTGTAAATCCCGTTGTGCTCAGGGTCAGGCTCCCCTTCACAGCAGTTGCCCTCTCGTTTCTTTTAGGTTAATCTTACTTGCCTTTTACTTATCTCTTCCCCCACAGCCAGCTCCCCACTTCTGCCCAGCAGTCAGCATGGGATGCTGTTTTACAGGCGGCGTCACCCCAGCCTTGGCTGACGTCACTCTCCTGAGGACCCCACCTTGGTTCCACCCCTACAGTGAAGTGAGGACTAAGGAGTGGTATTCAAAAAACCCTCCTGGGTGGTATAGTGTGCGTCCAGGATTGTGAAGGCCTGGGCCATTCTGTATCTCTGCAGGCCCCCGGAAACAGTGGCCCATAGGTGGTGCTGAATTCCTAGTAGTTTCCATAAACAATAATCAGTATTTGAATAGGCACATGCCTAAGATTGGTTTTTTCCCATGCAATTCTGAAACAGATCAGAACCCACCATTTAATAGATTTACTACATTATCTTCATATTTGTAAGCATTGGATGCTAAGCATTGGATTAAATTAATTCGTTACATTTCCCAGACCCTGTAATCATGATTTATCACAATGAAACTGTTCTGGCGGATCGATGAGACATAAAATACCCGCAGCCCTCACGACCAAGTAGAAAAGCCCGTTCACACTCTTCACCCTGAAACTCTGATTCACAAATTCTGTTTGCTTCATCGAACGTGAGAACCTCGCACCCTCCTACAGCGGCTGACTTTGCGTAGAATTCCCTCTCTCTAAGAGTCGCTAGCGTCTCCCCCGCCACGCCGCCCAGGAATGTGCGGCTTCCTGGATGAGAACTCTGGGTTCATCAGTCACAGTCTGAGAAGATTTTTAGAGACACAGTGTTTTCCCTTTTCTGCATCTCTCGGAAGTCTTTCAGAGCAAAAGGGCATTGGCTGTACTCGAGGAGATGGCTGTGGGAGAAACAGTGACAGCGCCGTGACCCTCAGGCCACGGTGTGACAGTCGGGGACATTGGAGGAATCAGAGTGGGTACGACTCAGAAAGGGAGGACAGACGTCCCGGGCCTTCTCCTGGCTCACCTGTGCATTCTGCTTGCATGCGTACCCAGCTCTGAAAAACATTTGTTTGTTTTATTTTGTATTTTAAAGATTTATTTATGTATTTGAAAGGCAGAGTTACAGAGAGGCAGAGGTAGAGAGAGACAGAGAGACAGAGAGAGAGAGAGAGGTCTTCCATCCCCTGGTTCACTCCCCAGATGGCTGCAACAGCTGGAGCTGCACTGATCCAAAGCTAGGAGCCAGGAGCTTCTTCCTGGTCTCCCACGCGGGTGCAGGGACCCAAGCACTTGGGCCATCTTCTACTGCTTTCCCAGGCCATAGCAGAGAGCTGGATCAGAAGTGGAGCAGCTGGGACTTGAACCAGCACCCATATGGGATGCTGGCACTACAGGTGGCAGCTTTACCCCCTACGCCACAGCACTGGTCCTGAATTTGATTTTGCTGAAATGACAAAGTCTCAATTGGGCTAGGGTTCTAGCCACAAGTGTTTAAGGCTATTCAGGTTTTAATTGCCTTTTGTGTTTTTTCTATTTCCTTTTACTTACTACCCAACTTTTTTTTAATTTTTTGCCAGGCAGACACAGTGAGAGAGAGAGACAGAGAGAGAG